CAATGCCAAAAGAAGAAAAAGCACAATACTGAAGTATCTACTAACACAATATAAGGAATGCTTAAGCAGTGAAATTTTTGAAGATTATTTTTTCAGTCTATAATTCTAGAAATTTCTTGGGTTTCCCATTTTATGGCATTTTGTATAATGTACTTTGAGCAAACTGCATAACATAAAAATTGAGTGTACAGGAAAATATAATAGAACCATATCTTGGTCATCCAGAAAAAAATGGCAAGTTGATTAAGTCTTATCATTCAAATTGCTTACCTTCATTGGTACTGGGTAATAAATAATATAGAGGTTAACATAGTCCAGCTGAAGGTTTTCCAATGATTTTTCCAAACTAGGTTGAACCAACTCTGGTCTGTGGAAAGTGCACCAAAGCTACTTACATGAAAGAATGGAAGTAATCTGGGATTAGTATATTATTCAAATATGAAGGTTTTATTTTACCTAATACTGATATATTTTGTACTATATAGAAACATGATCATAAGACGTAAAATTTCTTTTGTTGAAAGGCTTCTACTAATCTCACTTATAAACATGATTATAAATTTGTTCTCAATCTTTATAAAATGAGAGAAATTTTCTTAAAGGTAAACCTCCTACCAAGTACTAATCATGTTCTTTCTCTAGATTATATCTCACAACGATTAGAAAACAATTTTAATCTAATTACGTGATCCATTCTTCTAATACCAAAAAAATTAATAGCCCAGTGTTTTTGTCAGTGAACAAAAGCAAAGTGACATTTTAAGGTCTGATGGACACAAGGAAATGAACTATAACTATCTAATCTTTTTTTTTTTACTTAATCACTTCACAGCCTGATCTCAGCCCCCTTCCTTCTCTCTTCCCATGCTCATGCTTCCCTCCCCCCATTCCTCTCTCTCCTTCTTCTCAGAGAAGAGGAGGCCCCCAAGGGGTACCAACCTACCCTAGCATCTCAAGTCAGGGTAAGACTAACTATGGGCATCCTCTCCCACTGATAGGATCTCCCACAAAGGACCCTAGCTAGAAGAAGGGGACAGAGTCAGAGACAGCCTCTACTCACATTGGTATAAGACCCACATGTTGACCAAGCTGCACATCTGCTACATATATGTAGGGCATCTAGTTCCAGCCCATGCACGCTCTTCATGCCCCCATGGGCCCAAGTTAGTTTACCCTGTAGGTCTTCCTACCAATCTTTAATGTGAAAGTTCTTTTTTTCCTGCTTTTCAATACTTAAAGGTAAAAATTAGTATTTGAAATACAAAAGATTTTACAAAGCTGTCCGGGAGATAGAGAAAGTTTCACAGTTTATCTAAAATCACACCCCATGCTAAAGTTCAATGCTTTGAATTGAGGCTCAGAAAAGGAAAGGACTTTGAGCTTTGTGTTGTAAATAGAAAGAAGTCGTGATCTTTTTCTGCTTTTCATGCTGAACTCATTAATGGATTGTATGCATGTAAGAGTTGTGCCAGAATATATATTTCACCAATTAATGAGCCAATCAAATGTCTTTTGCTTATATCACATTTCAATTAATCTGTATACTCAAGCACAAATTACCTTTATAGTGATGAACATGTCTGCTCTCTTCACAATGCCAGCAGCAATCTTGCTTTGAATAGCCTGTCCTACATTCTTTTCAGTTTGGTACACATATGCAGTATCAATATGACGGAACCCGGCCTCAATAGCTAAATTTATAGCCTCCAGTGGCTTGTTTTCAGGAACCTGAAGGAAAAAAAATAGTATTTGAAGACACATGATAAAAGAGGTAGCTCAAGTGGATCTGATAGGCAATTCTCTACAGTAATAGGGCCTATATATGCCTGTCATTCTCACACCATTTTACTGCTTCATAAGTGGCTGGTTTCCTGACCACTCTAATTCCACCTCCTGCAAAACTTACCAGAAACTACAAACAGTAATTGTAGAGATCACAGGCACAAAGGTGATTTCAGGAGACTCATCATTTCCCCCACATCTTTGGTTAGTTGAACATTTGGGGTAACAAGTCTCACCTTACTTTAACTGGGTCTTTCCAGGGTAGTAATCAGAATTTCAAATCCCATAATCTTTTTATATCCGTGCAATAATGGTCAATCATTTGCAATGAAGGTCCTCAAATAGACCTCAAATTCAGTTATTTTTCTGGAAAAGCTTACAGGACAAGTATACAGGAGTAGCTCTATTATAATTTAAATAGTGGCATTACAAGTACAATGAACACAGGATAAGTTTGCTTGGAACAAAACAGAGAAGAAATACAAGTTTGGTGCAGCATTATAAGTCTTCTCCCAGTGAAGACTCCTAGGAAATACTGAGTTCTGTTCTGTATCAAATTGTAACAATATGTGGTTAATCTCATCTGTATGGAAAGCTGTTTCTTCTTCAGTTTGTAAAGGATAATTCATATTGGGTTGTCAGCCCTTAAAGCAATAATTACTTTATTTAGTGAAGATATA